GAATCCATGCGTTTTAACTTTAATGAAATAAATGATGTAAACATAGACCCCGATATAAACTATTCCTACGAGGCGCTTACAGATTGCTCATATCACTTTCCAAGCGATTTAGAAGGGTTTCTTTTTAAAAATGTTTATGACAAATGTTTAAATAAAATTATGATACTACACGTAAACATTCGAAGTCTTAATAACAATTTTGAAAAACTTTTAAACTTGTTAGAGGAAACAAAAAATCGTTTTAACATAGTTTGTTTAACTGAAACCTGGATTTCAAATAACAAAGATAATACTTCGAACTTTTATATTCCTCATTTTAAATTAATTTCGTTTAAAAGACAAGTAAATAAACGCGGCGGAGGAGTCCTTATATATGTGAATGAAAATATTGTTTATTACGTTAGGAATGATTTAAGTGCTTCTGATAGCGATAAAGAAATTTTGACTATTGAAATTATGAACAATCAATCTAAAAACATATTATTAAGCTGTTGTTATCGCCCACCTGACGGCGTGAGCGAGAACTTGAGCATTTTTTTTGAACAAAGTATTTTCAAAAAAGGTATTAAAGAAAACAAAAAGAACTTCATTATTGGAGACCTAAATATGAATTTTTTTCTTTATAATGAAGATAACAAAATTAAAAACTTTTACGACTCCTTTTTTGAGGCGGGAGCAATTCCTTTAATAAACAGGCCAACTAGAGTAACAAAAAACTCGACGTCTTTGATTGATAATATTATTACAACAGATATATTCAACAATAATATTCAAACAGGTATCCTAAAATCTGATATAACTGACCATTTTCCAATATTCTTGACAATTAATTCTGAAATTAAAAATAAAATAAACAAAATTAAAATCCGCATTTTTAACCATACAAATATAAAGTTGTTTAAAAACCAACTATCGTTACTGCACTGGAAGCATATTAACTTCAATGACAATGCAGACAAAATTTATGATAACTTTTATGAAACCTTTTACTCCGTTTATGACGCAAACTTTCCTATTATTGAAAAGACAATAACTCCAAAATATAAAAATAACCCCTGGATAACAAAAGGATTTAAAAAATCATCCAAGATTAAACAGAAGCTGTATATAAAATATCTTAAAACAAAATCATTAGATAATGAGAAAATATATAAAAATTACAAATATCTCTTTGAAAAAGTTCGTAAAAATTTAAAAAAAAATTATTACACAAGACTTCTAGATAAATTCAAAAATAACACAAAACCTAATTGGCAAATAATGAACGAAATTACTGGCAGACAAAAAAAATGCTCTGGTTCTCTTCCCCAGATGGTTATAGTGGATAACAAACGCATATGCAAACCAAAAGCTATAGCTCATGAGTTTAACAAATTCTTCACTGACATTGGTCCTAAACTAGCAAATAAAATTCCTTATACCAAAGCAACATTTAACGATTTTCTAGTACAGATGGATAATTGCATTAGTTCCAACGAATTATATTCTGAGCTAACTTTTTATGAATTCGAAAAAGCATTCAAATCCCTTAAAAAAAACAAAGCAAACGGAGCAGATGACATAAACGGTAATATAGTTATAGAATGTTTTGAACAATTAAAAGATATACTTTTTAAGGTTTATGGAGCATCTATTCACCAAGGAGTTTTTCCGGATCAATTAAAAATTGCTAAAATTACCCCAATTTTAAAAGAGGGAGATCAAACAAATATCAGTAATTATCGTCCTATCTCCGTCCTCTGCACATTCTCAAAAATACTAGAACGCATTATGTATAATAGATTATACAATTATTTCCTTTCTAATAATTTGTTATACGCCAACCAGTTTGGTTTTAAAAAAAATAATTCGACGGAACATGCAATTATCCAACTTGTACGTGAAATTTCAAATTCTTTTGAAAAATCTAAATTTACATTAGGTGTTTTTATCGACCTATCGAAGGCGTTCGATACTGTAGATCATGAAATTTTGATACAAAAACTGAAATACTATGGAATAAATTACAAAGTTATAAAATGGTTCCGAAGTTATTTATCTAACCGTAAACAATTTGTTTTTAGTAATAGTTGTTATCCAAATGAGTTCCTAAATGTTTCATGTGGCGTTCCCCAAGGCTCCATTTTAGGACCACTGTTGTTCTTGATTTATATAAACGACCTAAATAAAGCCTCAAATTTAATGAGTATAATGTTTGCTGATGACACCAACTTATTTCTTTCCGATAATGATATTTACAAACTCTTTTCTAGTATGAACGATGAACTTAAAAACATATCAAAATGGTTTATATGCAATAAGCTAACTCTTAACAGTAACAAAACAAAATGGATTCTCTTCCATCCAATCGCAAAAAAACCTTATTTACCCCAAAATTTACCAGAAATCTTTATTGATAATACTGTGATAAAAAGACACTATGTCACAAGGTTTTTGGGTGTTTTTCTTGATGAAAACATCACATGGAAAGCGCATATTGACTATATTAGCACAAAAATTTCTAAAAGCATTGGAATTTTATATAAATCGAGAACATATCTATGTAAAAAAGATTTAACCCAACTATACTACACATTTATTCATACCTATTTAAATTATGCAAATATTGCTTGGGGAAGCACAGAAAAAAGCAAATTAAAATGTCTTTACCGCCGTCAGAAGCATGCGATCCGTTTAATTAATTTTGCGGATCGATACACTCATTCCAAACCTTTTTTTATTGAAATGAAAATTCTTAATATTTACGAACTTAATGTGTTTAATGTTTTATGCTTTATGTATTTGTGGAAAAATGACTTATCCCTACCTATCTTTAAAGTTCTCTTTTGTGAAAAACCAATAAATAAATATACTCTTAGAAATAATAAATTTTTGCATAAACCTTTTTGTCGAACAAAGTTTAACCAGTATGGTATTGCTTATCGTGCGCCATATCTTTGGAATGAAGTTGTTTTGCCAAACTTTAATATATTTTACACTTTTCCAATTTTTAAACATAAACTCAAAAATTTAATTTTATTTTCCGATGACATAATAAGGTTCTTCTAATTGTAATTATGTACCTTTATTTAGAACTTTTTAATTGTAAAATACGTTTTATGTTAATTGTAAAATACGTTATATGTAACGACTCTTTTTGTTTTACTTTTCTTTTTGTTTTACTTTTTATATGTAACGACTCTTTTTGTTTTACTTTTTATCTTTTTGTTTTACTATTTACTTTTACTGTTTATTTTATAAATAGATTATATACATTGTAAATAATTATGCTAAATGCTTGTAAAAGGTTCTGATGATAAGATCAGTACGATCTTCTTTCAGAAACCTTGTTTGTATTTGTTAAAGTATTGTATTACGACAAATGTAAACTTAAAATGTAAAAAAAAAAAAAAAAAAAAAAAAAAAAATATATAATATAGTATATATATATTATAATATATATATATATATATTATATTTATAATATATATATATATATATATATATATATATATATATATACATATATATATATATATATATATATATATATTACAGTGCTCAACTTAATTTCTTTTTGATTTTCTACTAATTATATATATATATATATATATATATATATATATATATATATATATATATATATATATATATACATATATATATATATATATATATATATATATATATATATATATATATTACAGTGCTCAACTTAATTTCTTTGTGATTTTCTACTAATTATATATATATATATATATATATATATATATATATATATATATATATATATATATATATATATATATATATACATATATATATATCAGGCCTTGAAACATGCTCTTTAATTTATAAATTGCGGGCGCTTGCTAATTTAGTTACGAGAGTAAAGAATCGCATTCGTCCTAAAAATTTAAGAGGTAGAAAACTAATAATGGTTTACTTGATTTTATACTAATTTTTTTTTTATAAAAAGTTTGCTTATTTTTGAAAACAAAATAATCTCTATTCAAATATCTTTAATTGCGTTTTTTCAACTGAGGTAAAATGTTAAAGTTATACTTCAATTAAAAAGCTCCTTTTTTTTTTCTACGAACAATGAATGGTGATTTGTGAATAAGACCTTTATATAAAACGTGTACAGCAAACATTTAATAAAATTAAATAAAAAAAATTTATTTATTTATTAATAATATTAAATTGTCTAATAAATACAAATTAATTATGAGAAACATTAATTTAATTTTGTAAAAGCATTTGCTAAAAACCAAGGCGTACTTAAATAACAGGCCTTCCCATCGCGCAACGGCTTGAAAAATGTGGAAGCTGATTTAATTAGCGGCAAAAGTTACTACAAATAACTTGTATCCTTACCAAAAGACTTAAAAACGCCCAGAAAATGTTGTGTTACTGGTTGTAACTCGAACTATGACTCAGTAAAAAATAAGACAACTACTTTCAGATTACCGAGAGATCCAGTAGAGCGTCTAAAGCAATCCCAAGAGAAAATATACAAGACAAACATGAACTGCAGTTTGTGCAAAACATTTTTCATTAAACTACCAAGTTATTAAAGTAAAGGGAAGAGAAAAACCTCGAGATCCTCTTGGGTATTTGCTTGAATACACATAGTGTATTCAAGCAAATACCCAAGAGTTTAGTGCTAACTCCTCCACCAAAAAAAGAACAACAACAAAATCCGAAAGCTCTGTAAGATCATTAAAAGAAGATGAACTTTCAAAATTCAAAGAGCTTTACAAAATTGATTCATTCCAAAATTTTTGTAATTCGTTATCTCTAGAAAAACTTAATTTAGTTGTTTATTATAATTGTTTAAATAGCTGTTGTATTCAATCAAAAGAACATAAAAACAATACTGGTATTAATTTTGTTTAATAGTATTTAATGACCTATTATATGAAGCCTATCATGCTGGAGTAAGTTGGACTTAGTTAAAAATCATATTCATAAGTTAAAATATTGTCCGCAAGATCATGAGGTACTATAATATTTGATTTCCTTTGAAAAGTCAGAAAAGAAAACAGTTTTAGTTCAGCAATTTGAATGCATGAGTAACATGAACTCAAGTAATATTCTTAAGCAAAAATATTTGCCTGAAGTAGTTGTTCGAGCTTTTGAGTATTTTGCACAGTGACGTAGTTTATACAATCAATTAAGAAATGAATTTCAACTTCCTAGTATTGCTACCCTTACACATTTAACTTCAAAAGTTTCACACAATGATAATACTTTTATTTGAAGTGTTTTTTCAAAACTCAACAATGGTCAAAAATAATGTATACTATTATTAGATGAAGTTTATGTTAAACCTATGCTAACTTATCATGGAGGACAGTTGTTTGGTAAAGTAGTAAACAATGAATCAAATCTTGAAAAAACTGTATTGGCTTTCATGGTTGTATGTTTTTATGGAGGACCAAAATTTTTAGTTAAAATGTTACCAGTAAATAATTTAGACACAGATTTTTTATATGATCAAACTATCATCTTAATCAACCAAATTATGAAGGCAAATGGAAAAGTTATTGCTTTAATTAATGATAATAATAGAGTAAATCAAGCATTTTTCAAACGATTTGATTGCATATTTCCATGGTTAACAACTGATGGCATTTTTTTACTCTTTGATTTTGTGCATTTAATAAAGTGTATATGAAATAATTGGATAACTGAAAAGTCTGGTGAAATTGAGTTTAGTTATAGAGGAAAAAAATATAATGCTAAATGGGATCACATCAAAAAGCTTCAAAAGTTAGAAGGTGAATTGGTTAAAATGTCTGAGTTGACTTATGTTGCTGTTAACCCAAGGCCAATTGAGAGACAAAAAGTTGATACATGTTTAAAAGTTTTTTATGAAGAGAGTATGAATGAATTTAAGTTAGAAGGTAGTGGTGTAGTGGTAGAGCGCTCGCTTCATAAACGAGTGGTTCCGAGTTCGATCCCCACCACGTCCCTGGTAGTACAGCGCTCAACTCGTTTCTCCGCGCAGCGGCCTTGTTCATTAAGGTTCGTGTTTCGGAGTTATAGAGTTGAGAGAGGGTTGTAACCACAAATAAGTAGCCTCCTTGTCTGTAGTGGCATATTCGGCCTTGAGGAGGTGAATTAAAATTAAAAAAAAAAAAAGAAAAAGTGTCATCAAGGTATAAAAGATGATGATATTAATGGAACTATTACTTTTTTAACTAAGGTGGTTCAATTTTGGAAAATAGTCAATGTTAAAAGTCCACCCGAATGAATCCATTTGAAAGACAACTTACCATATCCGTTGATGATTTACGATTAAATGATTTAATTGAGTTTTCTGAAAGGTTAAAGCCAACATTGATTCAAGGAAAAAAAATTAGAAGTATAACCATGGATACAAGCAATGCAATTATATCAAACTTCTAATGGTTTAGTTGAACTAAGAAAGCATTTGTTAGATAATTCTCAAATGTATGAACTGCTTGGGAATTTTACAATAGACACTACAGAAAGAGTATTTGAAAAACTCAAACAAGGTAGTGAGGGAACTAATTTTGTAAATACTCAACAAGTAATTTAAACAAGTAATTTAAAAGTGGAATATCAACAAAACCAAAATACTTCTTCAGAAAACTATCAACATTTCAAGTTCTGAGTTTACATCTTATCATACATGTGATAATTGATTTTATAAACTTTCAGAAGATGAGTGTGAGATGTTTAATTGTTTGCATGACCTTTTAGACCAACTTTCATTGAATATTAAGCATCTTTAGTTTATATTGCAGGTTATGTTTTTGGAAAAGACAATGAAGATGATAACAATGACACTTATCTGTATTATAGTAAGTATGGAAATTTTACATCTGCCTTAGATCGTGGTGGTCTGAAAATACCCAGTGATACCTTATGTGAATGGGTATTTTTAAGTTACATTTTGTTTAATTTTGTTGGCGCATCAAACTTTTGTAGATATTTTATGTCCTGTTTATTCATGGATATTGATTGTACTTATGATTTCACCATAATTACAAGAAATCATTGTTATATTCTTAAAAATATATAATTTAACAATTTTTGCTATATGCACTCACCTGCATCAGACAAGGAAACCAAAGTTAAAGTTTTAAAACTGTTTTGTTAGCTTTTGTTAATAAATATACCATAGAAAGTTTCCAATTTAACTTTAGATGATATTTCATTTAAAAATTGTTAATTTATATTTTTACTTTTTAATTCTTTCTGTTAATGTTTCATTGTATGAAAATATATAGAAGTAGCTTGATTATTTTTTGTTATTGTCAGTTGTTTTTGAACATACAAGGTGCTTTTTTTTACTTTCTTGACAAAAAACAACTATTTTTGTTTTATAAACGTTTTTGTAATAAAAATATGGACTTCTTTATAAGAAGATAAAATATTATTTAGTAAACAATGACATGGTTTAAGCCTTATATTCTTCTTATCCTTAGTTTTTTATTTAATCAGGTTATGCATTAGAAAGTATGCCCTGCTAAAAACTATATGTATAATAATAAAAGTTTTTTATTTAATTTCGAAAAAAATATTTCTAAAAATGTTGTGTTTTTAGAAATATTTTTTGGAATAGTTTGCTTATCGTTAAAAAAAAATAATAATAACTATGCACATATGTTATATACAGCATGTTTCACCATTAGTAGGTTCATCAGAAAGCTTCCTGATGAACCTACTGATCGTGAAACATGCTGTTGAAGAGCACAAAAGTTAGATAAGTATTTTTACTAAATTATTATTGCTTTGTTCTTAAAGAACATTGAGAACTTTATTTGTAGAATACACTAACATTTGTTTAAGTTTTATTATTTTAGTTTAAGCAAATAGATATGACTAGACAATCATAAACAATAAATAATGTGCCTGGGCAAAGAAAAAATGCGCCTATATAAGGTTTTCTACATTTCACTTGGAAATATTGTGCCACAATATCTCAATTAATTCACTTCAATTGTGTCACAATAAAACAATGATGCTAAATAATTTTTGAAGAGTAATTTAAACAAATTTGGAACAACTTATCTCAATTCTAAAACTTAAAAACATGAATGAAAATTTGACCAATCAAAAAATAATGCTTTATTTTTATAATAAATATAAAGTTAAAACAAAAACCTCTATAAACTGAGCTTGAATTTTTTGCATTTCCAAAAATTCCCATAACTCCAACCTTTAATAAACAAAATAAAAAAACCAAAACAAGAAGTGTTTAACACTAAATATACTTTTATGAGTTAACTTTATAACAAATCTTAAATATGACAAACACAGTGATAACAATGATGCTTATGATCATGAAATTATTGATTTTTACCATTAGTCTTTTGGTTGTTATAGCAGTATTATTTTTACCGTTAGTCTTTTGGTTGTTATAGCAGTATTATTCAATGACTTAGCATTTTTTCTTTTTTTCTCTTCATCTGTATACTTCATCTTTTTGTTACTCTTAAGCTAAAGTAAATTTAAAGCAACACAAAAAACTTCAAAATAACTAAAACAATATAATGGAATTAAAAACTTTGCATAATGAAGAGTTAGCTTAGTTGTGAAGAAAAGGAAGTAAGAAACAGATGTTAAAAGAATTAGCAGCAGATTCTTAATAGTAAAAAAGAATTTTAGCTAAAACTTCTTAATTCAAAGTTTTTACGCTGTAATTGAGGATAAATAAAAATTAACAAAATGGGATAATTATATTTTTATAAAACAACAATACTAATATTATTAATACTAATTAAAAAAATAAAATTAAAAAAAAACTAATACTAATTGAAACAAACTACAGTTTACTACTAACTCTAGTTCAACTTTTTTGAAATAAACTTCATAGTCATACTAACCTTATTAGAATGAATTTCATGGTCAATTTTTGCAGTTGTCATTTTTTCATGACATTTTTTTTGTCGTTTTTTTTCTTTATACATTATTCATTTGTGTATAATAAACACATTAGTGACAATGCTTACAATATCAAAAACTTCTAAAACAAAACAATATAGTTACAAAACCCACTTAAATAGATTTGTACAGCTATTGTAATATGGCATATTTAAATATCCTTTAAGTCAAATTTCATTACTATAGACTTTATATAAGAAATTAAACAGTGTCCTAGTTTTAATCAACTAGAGGACTATTTGCAACCATTTAGCAAACTTTTACTCTTTAGTCTTGTTTCAATATACAACAGTATTGCCATCAATACTGCTGTATAGCATCAATATGTTGCATAATTAGCGAATATGTACTTCTTTAAAATTGTGAAAATAAAGTTTTTATATTTTTCATAGTAGCTTTTTTTCAAACTTTTTAATATAAAATTTAAAGCATTATTAGCAAAATTAAACTTATAAAGCACATTCAACTTTCTATTTTTTTCTAAAAGATTTTCTAACTTTGTAAAAAATGGCTAAAATTAAATATATCAAAAATACAGCTATAAAAGGTGTATGCATAGATAAACAGTTTATTTATTTATATTTAAAAATATAAAATTTAATATAACATGCATTTACATTAATTTAGTCAAAGCAAACATATCTTGTTCAACTTTTTTTATTATTAAAAAGTCTTTTTTACATAAAATGAAAATATAATTATCACTTTCTTCTAAATAGTTTATAATACATTTTAAAAATTAATTGAGCACTTCCAAATTTAATTATCCTTTAGAAATAAATTTATCTTAATACTTTATTACTTCCAATATGTTATCGATTCTGATATCACCAACTTTAAATATTTCATTTATTGGAAGCAAAACTTTTTTTTTTTTTGCAAATCTGCTGACACAATTAGGAAATTTTTGTCCCATTCCATCTCAGCATGTCTTTGGTAAATTGAACAAAGCTCATTAGTAAACTCATAAGTAAACTTGCTAATGATTAGCAAGTTCTTTGTGATTTATTTTTCTATAATTCTCAAGTTTTATTCTTCTATAATTCACAATTTTCGATATGATCGGCTCTCTATTATATGTACTTTGTAGTTTCATTCTTCATTTCCTAAATAAAGAGTAGTCGACATTCATTTTCGTTTGTTGATACAAACTATCAAAATAAGAATCTGTTTGTGGATACATGAATCCATTACTGAATACATTATGATTATGAAACATATTCTTATTATGAATAAGAATATGTTTGTTGATACATGAATCCATTAATGAATACATTACTGAATCATGTTTGTTGATGCAAACTATCAAAATAAGAATCTGGATTTTTTACCGAAAAATCTTTATCACTTTTTTTTTTTTTTTTTTTTTTTTTAAGTTAATTAAGGTGCTGTCGCTGGAATTTTGGTCGGCGAAAATTTTTATCCCGGACCAATATTTTCGTTGAAATTTTTGGTCCGGCCGGATAAATTTTTGCGATAATTTTGGTCCACCTTGAAAAAAATGATCCGTAATAATATTTCAAAAATTTCGCAGTTTTGAAAACGGACCAAAATTTTTGGTCCGTGTAAATCAATTTTTGATTTTTTAACTTGAATTTATAAATTGATAACAAATTTAGACATAATAAGTGTAAAATAGTAAAATGGATATGATCATATTTTTTAACAAGTTGTTAAATCTTTCTTTAGGTTTTATGAAATCAATTTCTCCAAAGAATAATGGTTGGCTCATTCATACTCTATGATCTTTTATAGCTTTTTCATATTTAATAGATAAAATTTGCATAAATGATGCATAGACCGCATAGATGCATAGATCCGGCATAGTCACATCTTATTATACTTCTCGATTTGAAGGGCTTTAAATGTCTGCTTGCATGAAACCCGCGTCCAGGAATAACTTTATGACTGCACTATCATTATTGTAAAACTTGATCTGATGTTTAAATTTGTCTGGAAGATCAAAACAAACAGTAATGGTCTTAAAACCAAACAGGTATGTCGGTTTTAAGATCATTACTATTTGTAATGGCCTTGTAATGTAATGGATCATTGCAACAAAAATGTTACCAGCAACGTACGTTAGGGTCGTTGGTGGCAACATTTTTCCAATGACATGTTCTCTGGTAATGACTGTCTGTTATCTTTCTAATAGCCATGCTTTGATCCATGCGCAAAGTTCCTCATTAATTCCATAGCTTTGGACTTTGTCAAAGGATTTTGCTGACGATAACGTCTATATGTGTACCTGAAATAATTCAGCGCACCATTATTGAAAAAATTGAGTATTTTTTTGGGCGTTTTGGCATTCAATATCCATATCCTAATGTTAACTAAAAAAGCAAGAAATTATTTTAATTTATGGCCACAGTTAAATGTAATTAATTTATGTATCATGCTTTTATTTATACTAAAATACAAGTAAAAATAGTTATGTTCGTTTATTTGATATGGTAACATATCAAATAAACATAACATATGGTAAAATAATTAAACAATAGTCAACAGGTAAAAATATTTAATCTAATAAATGTCAATGCTATCCACATGTCAAAGTAGCCCCAAGTTATCTCAGACCTTTCTCAGTTTTACTCTACACATGACACTAGTAGCGGACTGGCTGTGTATATATTACCGGCAATAACAATAATTAATGAGCCCTCCCGACTATACGTATATCGCAAAGACTGCCCGGTCCGCAATTTTCAAAAAATAAGTCCTAAGAGAAACAATTAAATCACAGAGTAATAAAATTAGATTGAATTAAAAAAGTACAAGTGATGTGCAATTTTCACAGTGCAAAGTATAGCAATAACTATTCTTAATAACAGTTTGCACAATTCGGAGGACGAAGATGCATATCTTTGAATGATCGTATCATACTCAAGGCTATCAAGTAGACTTTTTTCTAAAGACATCAACATATACAACTCTAAGTGGTCATTCGATATTGCGAATTTCGCAATCTTATCTTGATTAACTTTATATTAGAAAACGATCTTTCACCTTTGGTTTGTGTTACAAAATTAGTATATATTTTTTTATAATTATGATACAAATTGTCATAGGTTTTGTCGTTGAGTCTATATGCAGCAAGAAATCGCAACACATAAGATCGACACGATCCACATGCTTTATTAGTATTTTTATAACAACGCGGTTAATCTGGATCATCCTTTTGATCTGCATTCTCTCTCAATGTTGTCGTTAATGGCAAAGATAATTTCAAAATCTCATAGTTAATCACAAATGACAACAGTTTGGCCTTTATTTTATCAACATCGGCATCTGGTAAAAATTCGATAATGCTGGGTTAACTGTTGTATCAAAACATGCCATGTCCATATATAATTGTCAATGTGAAGTGAAACGTGACTCAAGACTTTGGACTACCTGATCCATCACCGCGTTGTAAGTGAGAATTCTGTAGGGTTCCAAAGCTTTATATTTGTCATGTATGATCATCTAACATCATTTGTGTCTTCCGCTTCCGTTTAACAGCTAGTTCTGTCTTCACCTCTAATATGGTTTCAGTTTTCTGGATGATGCTTGCGTTAGCTATCCGTACAAATTGAAGAGCGTTATTATGAACATCATCAAAAAATCTTGATTAACTTTTCAATTCAATTGCAGCCTAATCCACCATCTTAAATGCAACCAACACATTTAATCCGCGAGTTGCAGGTATATTGAAAGTGATCCCACTTTTTCAAAAATGTGCAGGTATGTAAAGGCAGTCAAAATGGTTTCAAAATTCAGGAATGGCATGAGGAATGTCTTAGCTTCTGATTTTCTAATTTTCTGATTCGCATATAAATGACGCACAAAAAAATTAAATTGACAAACGCTGTTGAAGACGGCGCAGCAAATGTTCCAAATATCGCCGTTGCAGCATTTGATTTACCCGACCACCTTGTTTGACCAATTAATTTCAATCTTTTTATCTTATTCATTCCAATTTGTGTTTTAACAAGTTTAATCCAAGACGCCATTCGCTTATATGACACTTTTATGAATGTTGAAACATTTTGCTAAAGGTTAAAAAATGAAACTGCCTGAATGCAGCAACTGGTTGCCTCCTTCACAACTAAGTTGAGAACTTGAGCATAACACCAAATATGTACATGGTGGTCTGCAGCTTCTGTAATCTTTTATTACAGTCCGTTGTACTGGCCATGATAACTTGAAGCACCATAAGTGGTGTCCGATAGGCAGTACTGCAAATTAAAGCCAAGACGCTGTAGCGTCAAATTTAAGAGATCGAACATGCTTTGTCCAGTACCGTCAGTGTTTGGTACAATAGAAAGCAGCCGTTCATGCACAGTAGCATCTAAAACAAACGACAAAGCTGAATTGGTCAATTGCAGATATATCTTGTGTAGAATCAACTCGTACGGAGTACAATTTTGCTTTGGACAATTTGTTCCTGCATCATTTTTTTCATAATATTGAGAAGCTCTCATATAGTAGTCTTACATGAAAACGTATCCAGAGCACCACGACCTTTACTGTCGGCTTTACCTTGACGTTTCAGTTTTTCTATTCTTTTGATTAATATCTCTTGACACATGGAGAGATGAGAAGCTAAAAGAGGGTCATATTTGGCCAAGAGCTGTACCAAGGCCAAATTTCCATGATTTTCTTCATCATAAGGTGCTTTAAGCTGACTAAGACAGAAAGTTTTATTTATGTGTAACATAAACATTTATGCTTATAAACATTAATTTTTTCAAAATTTACAGGCCAATGTTCAAAATATATAAGTGTATTTGCTTTCAGGAATGTTGCTTCTTGGCCACTTTCTACTTTCTTCTGGATCTTTTGGTAATCTGTAAACAGCACACTTTTTTATCTGTTAAATAATTAGTAGAGCGATTCGCAACACTTTTCACTTTAAAGGCATAATAAGCCTCAAGAAATATTTTTTCTTCTAATTTTAAGCAACGATAATAACCGGTAAATTTTTCTTAGTTAATTGGCTTCCAGTTATTTTTACGGTTTGCACAATTAATAGGCCTGTGTTTTAGATAGCCGTGAATCTATTCATTAAACTTGGTTTCTCTAATCTTGCAATCCATTCATTAAACTTGTATCGATAAATGCGCTTAGCAAATAGATTAAGGGGATCTTGTAAGCAAGCAATCACACAATTTTAAATTTTTTACACATAATTTTATTAAAATTGTATTTTATTTAGACAGCCTAACTTTTTTAATTCCGTTTTTAAATCTTTATGTACTACATTCAAATCATTTTGAACATATTTCAAATCTAAAAATATATTAAGCAAATAATTAAAATATTATCATCTTAAGTTTAACAAAAAGTATTATTAACATCACAAGTACAATATATAGACAAAAAACAT